TCTTGGTACGTAAACATTTTCTCTCTGCTTATTGTGTTTGGGTGGATCATTGCCTCCATTGTAGAGATCCATTTTGGGATTTTGAAGTAATGTTTACGCCTAATTTCTTTCCATGTCTTCATTAATGTATCTCTAATTTTGTGTCGGTGGAAACATATCCCTGCCCCCTTTCCTTTATCCCAAAGGTAGGCATGCCAGCCTCTTAGCAGATCATGCTCTTCCAATTGTAGAATTCTTTTGTTTCTTAATGTGGCCCACTCTCGTAGCCATACTAAATTGGCAGCTCTGTGGTATATCTCCCAAACTGGGAGCCCAAATCCACCTTTACTTCTTTTTTCTTGCAAAGAACGTAACACAATTCTCGGTCTTTTCCCTCCCCAAATGAATTTCCTTACTATCATGTTTAGATCCAAAAAGAATTTTTTGTCAATGCTAATTGGAGTGGTTTGGAACAAATATATTAATTTGGGGAGAATGCTCATCTTAATAGTGGCTATCCTACCTAGAAACAATATTTGTAGCTTCCCCCAACGATCCAAATCTTGCTTGATTTTTGTCAATAATGGCGTATAATTGTCCTCCTTCAAGGTTGGGCATCTAGCGGTAATCCATATCCCTAAATACTTTATCCTTTTAACTATTTGGATGCCCAATTTTTCTATTAATATTTCCTTTTCTCTTTTCGGGATATTTTTTGTTAACATTTTAGTTTTTGTCATATTTAATTTAAATCCAGATAGCTTCCCGTACTCGTCTATCTCTTTCAATACCTTTGGCCCAGTTGTTAACGGGTCCTCCATAATCATCGCTACATCGTCAGCGAAAGCTTGAATTTTGAAGGTTTCATTCCTAATTACCAGTCTGCGTATTTCATTGTTTTGCCTAATATTCCTTAACAGTATCTCCAGAGCTAATATAAATAAGAGTGGAGAAAGTGGACAACCTTTCCTAACCCCTTTACCGATCTGAAAGGTTTTGGTCATATCTCCATTCAGTACAATATTTGCACTCTGCTTGTCATAAATTGTTTTTATCGCATTCTCGAAGTATTCCCCAAAATTCATTCTTTTAATCTGCTGGATCATAAATCCCCAATTTAGGTTATCTGGAAGACAGATCAGAACTAATATGAGAGTGGTTATGGATGTGTTGGAGTATTATGAAATACACTCCGAGAAACAGTTGGCCTTGGTCTTTCTCGACGCCCAGAAATTTAGATGTTATTTTATTCAGCTTTTCAAAAAACGGTTTATCTATTTTAATTGGGGTGACCTGAAACAAATATAAAAATTTAGGTAATATAGTCATTTTGATGGCCGAAATTCTTCCTAGGAATGAAATGTGTAAATTTTCCCATTTTTGTAAGTCTTTCTTTGTTTGTTCTAGTAATTTATCATAATTGTTTTCTTTAATTGTTGATAATTAAATTCTTGTAGATAACCAGATTCCTAGATATTTTATTTTTTTTGTTGTTTGGATTTGTATATTATCTGTCAATTCTTTTGTTTGGATTTCCGTAAGGTTTTTTACAATTAGCTTCAATTTATTTTTATTGATTTTTAGTACGGCCAATTCTCCAAATTCTTCTATTTTTTGGAACAAATTAGGTATAGATTCCATAGGATTTTCTGTCAAAAACACTAGGTCATCAGCAAAGGCCTGAGCTTTGTATTCTTCTCTATTGATCCTTAAACCTTCAATTCCTTGGTCTTTTCTAATTTTTTTCAATAGGATTTCCAATGATAGAATATATAGTAAGGGGGAAAGTGGACAGCCTTGTCTGACTCCTTTTGTTATATTAAATTTGTCTGTTATATCATCATTCATAATTATCCTTGCCGATTGCTTGGTATAAATTTCTGCTATAATTTTCCCAAATTTTTCCCCAATTTGCATATTTTGTAGTTGTTCAATCATAAATTTCCAATGTTGATTATCGAAGGCCTTTTGGGTGTCAAGAAAAACCAACGCTGCCTGCTTCTCCGGGTGTGATTCATAATATTCTAGAGCATTAAGTACTATTCTCATGTTATTCTTTATTTGGCGTCCCGGCAGAAATCCATTTTGGTCTGGATGTATATATGTATTTAATACTGATTTAATCCTTTTGGCCAAGATTGCTGCAAATATTTTGTAATCGGCATTCAATAATGAAATAGGTCTATAGTTTTGTATTAACTGGAGATCTGTATCTTCTTTTGGAATGATTGTTATTATGGCTTCTGTCCATGAATTTGGTATTTTGGCTTTCTCCATAGCTTCATTATATAATCGCAACATATTCTCTCCCAATACTTCTTGCATTGTTTTGTATATTTCTACCGGTAGCCATCAGGTCCCGGTGTTTTATTATTTTTTTGCTTTTTCAGTACTTCATCTAATTCTAATTTGGTTATTGGCCTATTAAGAGTTATTCTTTGTTCTTCTGTGATTGTTGGCATTCCTGATTTCCCTATGTACTGTTTTATCTTGTCTTCCTCTATTTTCCCCTGATTATATAAATTCGCATAAAATTTCTTAATAATTTCTTTTTTGGCCTCTTTACTATGTTGAATTTCTCCTTTATCGTCTTTCAATTGGTATATCGTTCTTTTTTTCTGTTCTTTTTTCAGTTTATAGGCTAGCCATCTGCCCGTTTTATTTGCGTGTTCGAAATAATTTTGTTTCGCCATTTTTATTTTTGGGGCTAGTTCTATTTGGTTTATCAAATTCAATTTATGCTTAATCATTTCCCATTCTTCTCTTATTGTTTTGTTCTGGGGCTTTTCCTGGAGTTTTTGTTCTATTTGTTTTAGGTCTTTCTCTAAATTATCTAATTGTTTTTTCTTCTCTTTATTCTTTTTCCTCGTATATGCTATTACTAGGCCCCTTATATATGCTTTTAAAGTATCCCATGTGTTTTGTAAAGAGGTTTCCTCTATTTAATTTAGGCGGGAACAGTGCAGGCTGACCTGACTACTTGGGAGGAGAGCGCCCTTTGACCCTTTCCACAAGACACACCTGGCAACTGAGACTTAAGGAGATGCTGTGGGTCATCACATGTTTATTTTGAAACAAGGTCTTCTAAAGGAGAGGTGCACTTTAGGACCAATGAAATAATTTATATCACAACAGTGTAGAATTCCATTGACTTTGTCTAGATGGTAGTTAAAAAGTGTCGAATTCAGAAATCAGGTTTCTTAGGTGCTCCTGGCTACTTTCCTTCGTGACCAGACGGAAGCTCACCTGACCAATAACCAGCCAAGACACAGTGAAGGCCTTTTCTTTCATTCATGGCAACAAATGGGGAGAGAAGCTTGATTTTCTCCAAAGTTCCAACCCAACATTTTCCTTTCTTCATACAACCCTCATCCCTCCTCATCCCTCCTCACTCCCCATTGGCTGAGATACTATGAGGTTATGCTCCTCCCTCCCGACTCCTACATATTTCTGCTACATACTAAATCATACACCACATGTACATTAAAATTAGGAGATAATTTATGCAAAGTGTGTCAGATAATATTTATTCAGCTAATTAGACATGCTCAGTTGCCTGTTTTGAGTTCTGGGCTTTTCAAATGGATTCTTGGAACAATATATTTTTCCCGTTTTTCTGTTTCAGCTTTGCCTTCCCTGTTTTCCAGTTCAGTTCTCTTCCCATTCTCTTTCCTGTTGTCCCATTCAGTTAGTTTTCACTGGTTAGCCATTTCCTCTTGCAGCTGTTTTTACAGCTTGTATTCCTCATTTTCCTAATATGAAGACCTGGCTAATTTTTGTGTCTATCCTACACCCTGCCTTTCTACCACCATTTCCTCACTTCCATCCATTGTAATTTCTTTGACAGGCTTGACAGATTCAATTTAAATTTTTTTTTTCAATATTAGATTTTGAAAACCATTCGCAAGATTTGACCAAGTGGGGCCATGTGGAAGGAAGTGGCTGCCCTAGTTTGTCACTTCGTTGTCCAGAGAGATCCAATGTTTAGCTTTTGATGCAGAAACGTCTGATGGATTTCAGACCAGGAGCCCATCAGGACCACCTTGAGTCCACCTGCGGGAGCTTCGGAGGGTTGACAGAAACTACTTTCATACAAGATGAATGATACAATCAATGGCAAACTGAACAAAGAGGCCCCACAGGATACGAAGTCACAGAAACAGAATTCAAATGAAAAGGAATTGAGTTGTGTGCCTTTCATTCCGAGAAAAACTGAAGTGATTCTGCAAAAATGCTCACCAGGACATCAGCTGAACTGTTGAAGCATGAAATGAAATTTCATTTCAGGCATGTAATTTTAAAATCAGCTCAATTTAGGATTAATATATGGAGATCTAACAGGAAAAAAATATATGAGAAACAGGCCCTACTCAGGGGTCAAAGGCATTGGCATTAGAAGGCAGACAATATTGGAGTTAAAGGACATCAAACCCAGAGTGGCACCGCAATCTATAGTGATGGTAGCCTTTCCCAGCGATCTCTGGAGACAAGATGCCAAGTTGAAGGACATCAGAAGTCAATTTCTTTCATCCACATCATTTTCTGGGCATGTCCGGGCAGGAAAGACCACAACCATTACAGAATAATGTCCCTAGGTGTGTATCTGTGATTCTGATGCTTTTCTCCAGACATCCCTCCTCACATGGAGCCCTGGAAGAACTTCAGGGTTCCCAGAGGAGAAGTTGCTTCACGGTGTAATTATCACCATCCTATTCTCTGTGACCTCTTCTGTCACTTCTCCAGTGACTGCCTTGATGTAAACATCAGACTGAAGCAGCATGGAAGGGATCTTGCATCAAAAAGGATAAATGCTTCAGGTCAGGCTCTTTGGTGCCACACATTTTGAGACAGGTAGGAGCTCTGCTCTTGAATGTACTTTCTCTCCTTTCCAGATGAAGCTCGGCTTGTCTCTGTCTGAATATGGAGAACTGCTGGCATTTCCATCTTGTGGGAAGCCTGGAATTCTTCTGTATCTTCTTGGTGTCCTTGTTTAGAAAGGGATTGATTCAGCCCAAGGAATGATGGACCTCCTGATTCTGCTCCTGATGCTTCTGATGCTGCCGTTGTTCCAGCCAGTCTCTGGAAAGCTTAGGAGGAAGTGCCCGATGAATTTGGAGCACCGGGATGGAAAAAATCCACCAAGCTATTACAGGCCAGGAGACCATCTCATTAGCATGGTCACCACGGCAACATTAAAATCAAATATAACGTTGCCTTTCAACATGGCTCCTTCTACTCAGTCTGACTCGTAAGTCATTCAGGATGATGGATTTGCACTCCTTCCATTTTCAGATGTAATATTCTCCTTTTTTCATTATTTCACTTATTCCTATATGGAAGGACCCACCTAATTTCCTGGAAGAGACTCAAATCCAAAGATGGAGAAACAGCTAAAAGAACTCCAGATTATTTCTTCCTCCCCATCCAGCCCTGAGTTCATCTGTTTGAAAACTGACTTTTGTTTAAAGTAACTATTGAAAAGGTTGCAATTTCCTATGTCAAGCCCATCCCTGGAAGCTTTCAAGAAGAGACTGAACTGCCATCTGTTAGGAATGGTGTAGAGTCTGCTTGGGTGGGGGGTAGGGGGTTGGACTAGATGATTTACAAGGTCCCTTCCAACTCTCTTAATCTGTATCTATCTATAAATGCTCATTGAATGGTTTAATTTTTGCCTCTAGTTTTGGATCAGTATTGGCTTAAAATTCAATAGGGTTGTGTGACAAAGAGAAAATACATTAAAAATATCCTGTTATTGCTTTCGATGGTGGTCTTGATAATATGAATATTTTTCCACAGGTGGGCAGCTTTAGGTAGGTTATCTCCTGATAAGTTTAGAATTGTCCGGTTCATTTTTGCCATTCACATGGCTAACAAGAATCCACAGCTCCTGCACAATCTCACACTTGGCTACAACATCCATGACAACTCGCTGAGCTCACTTGCCACTTCAGATGCTTTGCTGGACATGCTCTCTACTGGAGAAGCCAATGTCCCCAACTACAGCTGTGGGAAGAAGGACGGTCTTTTGACTCTTCTCGATGCAGCAAGAAGGGACATCTCCATCCAGATGTCAACTTTAGGAGGCACCTACAAAGTCTCACAGGTTTGTGTGTGTGTGTGTGTGTGTGTGTGTGTGTGTGTGTGTGTATCTGGTACAGTGAGAGCAGAGTTGGTGAGTGATCAATATATCCACTTGCACCTTCTCAATGGAATTCAGGAGCTGTTTTTCACCATAGCCATTTGAGGTCTCATGGCTGGTGATTGGGATCCATATTGAGAAGGAGGCAACCATCAAAGCAGCCGTATCTTCTCATGACACCCTCTTCATGGCTTGGGTGGATTCTGCTGGACACTTGTAGCCAATAGGACCAAAGCTCACGAAGGGTGCATACTTGTACCATTATTATTCAGTCTAGAAATGAATGACTTACCAGGACTCATAAAGGATCCTCTGGTACACATGTCTAAGACACTAGATACATCTATTATCATCTTGTTATAAACTGAGGATGGTATTATTATTCTTATTATACCTATAATAAAGGAGAATATTTGTAGCTCGGGGTTGACATGAGGGGTCCTTGGTGATCTCTGAACTTGCTTGTTTTCTTGCAGATGTTTCTTTACCCAAACTAGGAAACATCATCAGTGCTAGTGATGATGATGATGATGATGGTTAGCACTGATGATGTTTAGCCAGTTCAGGTTATGAAACGTCTGGAAGAAAACAAGCAAGCTCAGAGAGCACCAAGAACTCCCTCAAGTTGGGTTTCATATGCTGTAAAGAAGACTTGGTTCCAACTCCCATAATAAGTATCTGATTCTTAATAAATCAAAGTCAAAAGTTATGAATTTTAAAAATGACATCATATCCATAGAGGGCTATTCAGTGGTGAGCCATAGAGCAAGTAACACCTTTCCTTATCTAGAGATAGTTTTCTTGGAGATGGGATCTTTGCTCACTCTACATCAAAAGAGCCCAGAGCATGGACATAAGTGAATCTACTACTTAAATTTTAAAGAAATCATAGCTATCCAACTTCCTTGAGCCCCATTTATTAAAGTATATAATGCCGAGATTAGAACACAATAGAATAACAGAGTTGGAGGGACCTTGAAGGTCTTCTAGTCCAACCCACTGCTTAGGCACGAAACCCTATAGCATTTCAGGCAAACGGTTATCCAACCTCTTCTTAGAAACTTCCAGTGTTGGAGCATTCACAACTTCTGGAGGGAAGTGGTTCCACTGATTAATCGTTCTAACTGTCAGGAAATTTCTCCTTAGTTCTAGGTTGCTTCTCTCCCTTAGATTACCCCTAAACTCTTATATGGAGCTGTGATTTGAAGCTTTAAGACATATATCATCACTAAAATAATCACATCGTCTAAGAAGGATTTTGTGGGTGGATAAAAGTTCTTCCACCCTCAGGGCTTAATTGGGAATTTATACAACTTTTCCCCTGTCTAAAATTGGGGCATACAATTGTTGATATAAAATTAAGCTGTAGAAACCGAGATTTCCAAAATTCTGTTTTTTTTAACAGACAAAAGTTCCGTTAAAAGACAAGTATTTAAATGCAAAAGTGCCTTCGGGCAATATTTATTTTAGTGAGAATGTGCTGGAAACAATCATTAAATATAGAAGATTTAACCAAGTCCCAATGAACTTGTCTTTCTGGAGCTCCAGAGAGAGACTAACACGTTCATCCTTTCAATCTCAATTATATAAGAAAGAAAACATTTAGAAGCTTGGACTGCACATTATAAAAACAACCTATTGTGATCCTTATATTAAAACAACTCATTTCCTATGCTATGAGAATTCAAAAATTATATATAATACGGCACTTTATTGGAACAAAACAGTTCACCTAAAATCTGTATATCTGCGTCTGATTGTGGGAAATTATAAAGGTGATACAGAAGTATGATTTTCATTCTTTATTTGTTTTTGTTTCCTTAATTTTTTTATTCTATGCTTATATATTGTGTTCTTAATGTTCTGTGTTTTATATTCTGTATTTTTGTAGGCCTCATGACTAATCAACAATAAACTATTCTAACAAGTTTAAGAGAATGAAGTTGGATGTATTAAAAGCTAATGTTTTGGACTTGATCCGAACCCAAATATAAGCATTCTTCATTGTCTTTTCAGATCAGTTATCTAACTGCTTCAGAGGCCCTGAGTGATAAAAGTCAATTCCCTTTTTACCACCAGATGCTCCCCAAAGGAGGGTTCCAGGACTCAGCAATTGTCCATCTGCTTCTCCATTTCAGATGGACCTTGATTGGCCTCTTTGCTTCAGACACAGAGAACGGAGAGAATTTCATGAGGATTTTGACTCCTATACTTGTCAGGAATGGAATTTGTGTGGTTATATCACAACGATTCTCAATGACTAGACAACCGACACTCCTCAGAGAGGCCCTCTCTAAGTGGAGACAAGTCAATGTCTTTGTTCACTTCTTAGAATACGTTTCCATTTCAGACAGAATCCTTCCTTTCCATTTAACTCTTGAAGGTTTGCCAGGACCCATTGAAGGGAAAGTCTGGATCACCACAAATTTGGGAACATATTCATTGAAAAAACACAGATGTCTCAAATATGTTCATAGTATTTGGTCTTTTTGTTTTCAGGAGAAACAATGGCCAAAAGAGGATGCGTTTGAACCCTACTTCTTTGTAGATGTCCAGTTTGAAGATCAGTATTTTCGCTGTTCTTTTTCAAACCGTGTCTCTTCTGTCAATGGTCGGAGAAGATGCACCCAGAAAGCGTCAATGGAGACCCAGCAGGGAAGGAACACTTTACGGATCAAAAATCACAAACATATTTACAGTATCATTAAGACTCTGGCGCATGCCTTAATGCTGCATATTCCTCCAGATACAGGAGGAGAAGGAAGGAGGGCGAAGAGAGTTTGGGAGCTCCAAGGCTGCAACCGTGGCAGGTATGGGGTCGGGTGGGTTTCACTTACCTTTGCTACCAGTTTGCTTGCTCGCACGCACTCACTTTGCTCGTGCATGCGCCAGTTCTGCACACGTTTCTGGACTTCTGGAACTTCCAGGAGACCTCTTTTTTGCCCTCCCCAGGCTCCAGAGGCTTCGGAAGGCCAAAAATGCCCCCCAGGCTCTGGAGGCCAGAAATGGGCCCATTTCTGACTTCCAGAACGTTTTTTTTGCCCACCCAGAGCCTCCGCGCAGGCCCTGCTCTTACCTGGCATCCAAAACAGGCTCTGTGGAGACTCCTGGGAGGGGAGGGGTGGGCAGGGCCAGCCACTCCTTGCAACTACCAGTTCGGCGAACCAGATATAAAATTAGCATCTGCCTTGCCCGAACTGGTCTGAACTGGCTGAATCCCACCCCTTGATCAGTTTCCATCCATTCTTCCTTGTCTGGCCTTCAGGTGCCTTGGAAAATAGCTTGATCCCCTTCTCTCTGTGGTAGCCCCTCAAATATTGGAAGATGTTATCATGTCTCCCCTGGTCCTTCTCCTCACTAGACCAGTCATGCCCAGTTCCTGCAGCCATTCTTCATATGTTTTAGTCTCCAGTGCCCTAATCTCAGTTCTGTTTGAGAAGAAGTCCAATGGAGAAGAACGAGAACTATCTCAACCTAATTATGCTACAAAAGTCCAACACTTTTGGCCAATCTAATTGACCAGGGCTTAATATTCCAAATAAGCTACACCATGGTAGATAAATACTAAGACGACGGTGAGAGGGCCAGCAGCGGCGGTGTCAGCAGCGGCGATGGCGGCCGTGACGAAGGTCGTGGGGATGGCGGTTAGAGCCAGAGCGGCTACCTAAAGACCGTGTAGACTGAATGAGATGGCGTGGGATACTTGGCAGTCTTCAAACAGGATTTTCCTGGACGGCTGAAGGGTGCTTGGCCCTTAGGGGGAAGGGCTGCCCCTGTGTGGACCCAGAGACCTCCATGGTGAGCTGGAGGGGGCAGAGTTGGGGAGCATTGTCATCAATTGGAAGTTCTGAGGGGCTGAGGGGCTGAGGGGGCCCGGAAAATGACTATGGACACTTTGCTGCTTGTACTTCCCCCCTCCTTCCTCTCTTTTGATCAAGTTTAGGCCTATTAGGCCTTATTATGGTCATAGCTACCCCGCCTATCCTGGCCTGCTGAGTTACTCCTACTTCCCCCAATTCCATCATGTCCTCTCTGAATTTCCGCCACTGCAAATTTCTTCCTGAACTAATTCCTGCCCATGAGCTGGAGGATTAGGCTTTTTGGACTCTCCTAACCCGTATGGGGGAATGGGAGCTGAGGACACAAGTCCGGAGGGAGCCGGTGTATGGCTGCCCTTCACTACCAGTTTCCATCAATTTTAAGTATTTCAACTGGTCGGCCTTCGTGAGAGGACGGTTGCGCCAAGAAATTTCTGGGTGTCAAGTGGCATGTATCTCCCCTCCACTGCTGTGAGAGGGCAATAGAGTCCGGTTGCTTGTGCCATGGATTGGAACTTTTCCCCTGTGGATTTATAACATCATGGTGGTCCCCTGACCACGGACTATTTTTACCCTAATGATCAGATGTACTCGGTGTCTGAGCTCCTTGCCCTGCGAGACTCTCCCCTCTCGCAGGTTTGGCCCTCCACTCTATCGAGGGCCTATCTTGATGACGGATTTTGGAATCCTGAGAGATAGCATGTTGCAAGGAGGGGGCTGTGGAGTTTTTTGGAGAAGTTTTTAAACAAGATTTTAAAGGGTTCTGGGAGGGGGTGGGTTGTGTGGGTATGGGGGAGAACCCCTGGGGGAGGGGGCCTGGTCCAGCTGAGGAGCGTGGCATGGGAGGTGCGGGAATCGGGGTCAAGGAGGGGGTTAGAGCTCGTGTTGTTGATGGACATTATATCAGTACTGTGAGTGGGAGGGGCAGATATGGCGGGAGCAGGGGGGCATATCATGTTATGGGAGTGCGCGCTCGCTGTCTTCGAGCGGTGGCACGCTCCGGCCTCCAATGCTCCTCTCGTTCCCCAGGTTGCACAGGCCCTCAGGCCCTGGGCCTTCGGCTGATGCTATGCAATGCCAGGTCTGTGGTAAATAAAGCCCCCTTCATTTGTGATCTAGTTCAGGAGGGGGGAGCGGACCTGGCGGGTATTATGGAGACCTGGTTGGGCCAGGTGGGGGGAATCCCCCTCGCTGAAATGTGTCCACCTGGTTTTCATGCATTTCATCAGCCGAGGTCACAGGGGAGGGGCGGGGGGTGGTGGAAGTTGTTATTAAAGAGGGTCTTGGTCCGAGGGAGGCCACTGTTCCTCAGATGGCCGGATGTGAGTCCCTCCTTGTGAAGTGGGGTCATGGGGCACAGATGGGCTTGCTGGTTACGTATCTGGCTCCCTGCCACGTGGTGGCGGCCCTGCCTGAGCTGCTCAATGTTATAGCCGCGGTGGTGGTTGATACCCCTAGGCTTATGGTCATGGGGGATTTTAACCTGCCATCCGTTGGTGAGGCATCTGAGATGGCTCAGGAGTTCATGGCTTCCATGACTGCCATGGACCTGACCCAGTTAGTTCATGACCCTACTCACATGGGGGGAAACACGCTGGACCTGATTTTTGTCTCTGGTCAGTGGCTGAGTGATCTTGAGATAGGGGATATAATGACTGAGCCCTTGTCATGGTCAGATCACTCCCTCCTTCGCTTAGACCTTCGAACCGCCACACCCCGCCGCAGGGAGGCGGAACTGATTAGGTGGTTCCGCCCCAGGTGACTGATGGATCCAGATAGGTTCCAGACAGAGCTTGGGCCATTTCCTGAGGCTCTGGCTCATGGTTCGACTGAAGACCTAGTGGCCGCCTGGGATAGGGCGGCCACTGGAGCTTTGGACCGCGTCGTGCCTTTGCGGCCTCTGATCTGGCACCAGTCTCACCTGGCTCCTTGGTTTACCAAGGAGCTGAGGGAGATGAAGTGCTGGAAAAGATGCCTGGAGAGCAGTTGGAGGGCCAGCCATTCTGAATCCGACCAAACACTGGTAAGGTCTTATATTAAGACCTACCTGGTGGCGATAAAAGCGGCAAAATGTAATTATTTTTCCGCTCTTATTGCGTCATCAGATAATCGCCCAGCTGCCCTGTTTAGGGTGACCCACTCCCTGCTCTACCAGGAAGCGCAGGAGGACCCATTGGAGGGTAGAGCAGAGGACTTTGTACAGTATCTGTATGACAAAATCGCTCAGATTCGGGAACACCTGGACTCTGACTGGGTAAATTCAGGGGGGATGATGGAGGCAGGTCTTGAGAATATTACCTGGGAAGAGTTTGATTCCGTGACTCCTGAAGACGTGGACAGGATACTGGGTAGACTGAGCACGGCCACATGTTTATTGGACCCATGTCCCTCCTGGTTGGTGTTGGCCTCCCGGGAGGTTACGCGAGGCTGGCTCCAGAGGATTATTAATGCTTCCTTGAGTGAGGGTGTCTTCCCCCCCACCTTGAAGGAGGCGGTGGTGAGGCTTCTCCTCAAGAAGCCTTCCCTGGACCCGGCAGTCTTGGCGAATTATCGTCCAGTCTCCAACCTTCCCTTTGTTGCGAAGGTTGTTGAGAGTGTGGTAGCGCGACAGCTTCCTCAGTACCTGGATGAATCGGCTTATCTAGATCTGTTCCAGTCAGGCTTCAGGCCTGGGTACAGCATGGAGATGGCATTGGTCGCATTGGTCGATGATCTCTGGAGGGCTCGGGACAGGGGTTGCTCCTCTGTCCTAGTCCTATTAGACTTCTCAGCGGCTTTTGATACCATCGATCATGGTATCATGCTGCACCGGTTGGAAGAGTTAGGGATGGGGGGCACTGTGTTGTGGTGGTTCTCCTCCTTTCTCTCTGACCAGTCGCAGTCTGTGTTGACAGGGGGGCAGAGGTCGACTCCAAGGCCCCTTGTATGTGGGGTGCCACAGGGGATGGTCCTCTTGCCCCTTCTGTTCAACATTTATGTGAAGCCGCTGGGTGAGATCATCCATGGTTTCGAGGTGAAGTACCATCAGTACGCTGATGACACTCAGCTGTACATCTCCACCCCGGATCACCCCAATGATGCCCTTGAAGTGATGTTCCAGTGCCTGGAGGCTGTATGGATCTGGATGGGGAGAAACAGACTCAGGCTCAACCCATCCAAGACTGAGTGGCTGTGGTTTCCGACATCCCAATATAGTCAGTTGGTGCCATCACTGACTATTGGGGGCAAGTCGTTGGCCCCCAAGGAGAGGGCTCGCAACTTGAGTGTCCTCCTGGACTCCTGGCTGTCTTTAGAAGAGGATTTGATGGCTGTGGCCGGGAGGACTTTTTATCAGGTTCGCCTGATTCACCAGTTACGTCCTTTTCTGGATCGGGATTCATTATGCACGGTCACTCATGGCCTCGTCACTTCCCGCCTGGACTACTGTAATGCTTTCTACATAGGGCTCCCCTTGAGGAGCACCCGGAGGCTCCAACTGGTCCAGAATGCAGCTGCGCAGGTGGTTACGGGAGCGACGTGGCGCTCCCATGTGACTCCCCTCCTGCACGAGCTGCACTGGCTTCCGGTGGTCTTCCGGGTGCACTTCAAGGTTCTGGTTACCACCTTTAGAGCGCTCCATGGCTTAGGACCGGGGTACCTACGAGACCACCTTCTGCCACCAATAGCCTCTCACCGACCAGTACGCTCCCATAGAGAGGGTCTTCTCAGAGTGCCGTCAGTCAAACAATGTCGACTGGCAGCTCCCAGGGGGAGGGCCTTTTCTGTGGGGGTACCTGCCATCTGGAAGAGCTCCCCTTGGAGATACGGAGGATCCCGGATCTGCGCACTTTCCGCCGTGCCCTCAAAACATTCCTATTCCAGCAGGCTGGTCTGGCCTAAACTCCCTTTTTAATTGCTTTTAAATTGGTTTTATAATTGGGGTGTTTTAAATCTGGCCAAAGTATTTAATGTACTGTAAATGGTTTTTAACGTTTGTATTATGTATATTTTACTTTTTTGGCTGTTCACTGCCCTGAGTCCTTCAGGAGTAGGGCAGTATATAAATTTAATTATAAATAAAAAATAAATAAATAAATAAATATTTATTAATATTTGGTATTAAACACTGCTAATTTGAAAAAGATGCATGCAGTTTTAAATAAATCCAGGTAGGTATATGGTTGATGATTAGCATCGTAGAATTTTACCTTTCTAAATGTAATGGAGACCTTGAGGCCATCTAGCCTAACCATTCCTTTCTGCATGAATCCCAGCCGAAGCTTCTTTGGCCTATATCTGCTCAGTCTTTGCATTAAGACAAGAGGAGACTGAATTTCTCAGGTTCACTGGCTCAGTGCTAAAACTGCTCCTCCTTTTATGATGTTTTTCTTCTTATTCAGCCAGAATCTCCTCAGTCTTATGACTGAGTTCAATTTTCCATATCTATAAACTATGGAATATAGTGCTTAATCTTCTGTGTAACATTTTTTTAGTAATTGGAAGAGTGCACTATCCTTTCCAACAAAGAGATTGTGTTATTTGAAAATGGTGCTACTAGAAGCATCTTCTGATTTTCAGCTGCCATAAACCAACATAGTTCTTTCCCTTGTTGTCTTTCTTCATGGCTAGAGCAGCTCCTTTCATCTCAAGACAGTTTTTATCCATCTAATTATCACAATTCAGATCTTACGTAAGTAGCTTCCTAATCATAACCCCAGGAAGTAATTTGTTAGTACTTTGCTAAAATCAAGTTTTATTACTGCCATCCCTACATTTCATTAAAGAAGCAGAATGACATGTCAGAATGATCTTGAGGAATGATGGGGAAGATTTCCTGGGAACAACCAGATAAGAGGGGGCAGGCAACAGCTGAATAACAGGCAAAAAAAAAAAAAGGAATTCAAAAATTATCATCCCTAATTTTTCAGGCAATCAAAACTGATGGTGGGAGATTTGTACTTGCAAAGTTCTGTTGATCTGGCTTTACAATAAGGTAGAATTAGCTTATTAGGATGTGTTTTTTCTGTCAACTATCAGAGAGAAAATTAAATTGGCAACTTGCTTCTTGACAAATCCCTGCTTTCTTTTACTCACCCTGTTGTTTTCAGGGAGTGTACACATAATCTCTTTGTTTGTTAATTTATTTGTGAGCTGCTCAAGAATGTTCCATAGAATCGACAAACTTTGTCAATTATTTGTTTTCTCAATCTATATTTTCTCAATATGTGATTGACAAATGTTGCTGAACCTTTTTTAACTTTTGAAGATATTGGTAACACTTTTCCCCCGACCAAGCCTATTTGCAACTTAGACAACTGTTGAAGAAAAATTCAAATGTTAAAAGACCACATGGGATTAAAAGAAAAAAAAGAAGGGCTCTACTTTTAAAACATGGGAATGAATTCATTTCAGTTCCATCCCTTCCTTGAGAAGAATGAATTTTGGAATTTTTCCCACTTTAAACTCTACTTGGACCAAAATGGAGATGTAACCGCAGATCTGGACTTCGGGTGCTTGTTGATTCTCTCCGAGGAGGATCCCATCCAATTGCAACTTGGGAGCATTGAAAGACAGAGAGTAATTATCAACCAAGATGGTCTGTCAAGGCTAAAGTCGCTCAACAAGGTAGGGAAAATATTGGAGACTTTTCTCCGGCTTCCAAAGTCCTAGAACCCATTTCAAGTGGGCTAAGCCTGGTCACCAAGATGGAGAATTGAATGTGGGGAGTGGTACTCTTCTAATTTTGTTAGGTGGCTTAGAAAGCTTCAGTGCTATTGACCAAGGTGTCCTTCAGATGCTCTAGTATGGAACACTGTTTTCAGCTGATCCAGCCATCTCCAACATGGGACGCTGGGTGACTAAACTTTATGACGTAGATCATGGCCCTTTTGTCTCCCCTCTGCAATTTAGTATCCTGCTGAACAGAACTTTCCTTCTTCATCACTGCATTGTTCTACTTATTTTTTTTAAAATCTAATAAAATAAAAATTAATAAACCGTCTAGAATAAATTTTATTATAGAATTTAATGGTTAGACCATCATCCTTGAAAATCATGACTATAGGAAGAACGGAGGAATCCATATTAATAGGGCCATAGGAGGAAGCCACTGATTGTCTGTCACTGAACGTTTAAATCTTTTCTCAGTTCCATCACTCCAGACTTTATCAGGTAGAAAAGACCTTTAGGATAGGATAGGATAGGATAGGATAGGATATAGGATTATAGAATGGAATAGAATTATGGAATGGAATTGGATTGAATGGAATGGAATAAATGGTCACTGATAGGGAGTGGGAAGTCAGGTGATATTTCATATTTATTTAACCAAAGCCTAGTTACTTCACTAAGGTTTATGTCTACCTCCGTTTTCCATGGATGGTGAGTTCTGAGGTTTTACTTTTGGCATTCCTTCTTTTCTGCTCAGTCTCTGCCTCAGTCCAAATGTGTGGAAAACTGTCATCCTGGATTTGTCAAGAGGGCTCGAGAAGGAGAGCCAGTTTGCTGCTACGACTGCGTTCCTTGTCCAGAGGGGACCTTCTCCACTCAGGAAGGTGGGTGACACCAAAGAAAGAGACAGGGAATGGATTCATCCACAGCAAAGCATTTTCATGGAAGTCCAAGTTAAAAGTTTGAAGCTTGTTTATTTTCAAACTGCACAATTTCTTATCTAAGGGATGACAAACATGAAGGAGTGGCTGGGAACAGAGAGGAGGATGTGACAGATTGCACCAGCTTCACTACTCTCAGAGAAAATCTCTCTTCTGGTTTTCAGTTGGGAGGCATCCTTGTAGTTTTTAACCTTTCTGAGAAGATCTGAGTTCTTTGAAACTTGAAGAATTATCTTGGGTCCATCTCCCAGAAGGATTATTGCAATGCATTGTCTATGGAGATTCTCAATCATCCATTTTTGGGATTGCAATGCATTTTATATGGCTCCCCCCTTGAGGATCACTGAGAAGATGTTGCTGGTGCACAATGAGGTGGTGAGGACAGTTATGGGTCCATCTTATGACAAATAAATTATCGCTGCTCCCAGGAATCGTTCTTGATTATTTGCAGGATTGGCTTTCCCTGCCAGCAAACTAGATTCCAAAAGTTAGCCTCTCCTGAGTCCTGTATATTAAGAAGTGCCATGTGGAGGACTCAGGAAGTGTGTCCAGAAAGAGTAACTGATTTATTATTTACCTGTAATAATGTAGGTTCCTATGAAGATTCTCCACATTACACAGGAAATCATTAATATCCTAGGACATTCCCCAATTTAATAAACAATCAGAAATATTATTTTTTTAAGAAAATTATATTCTTTTTATGAACCTTCTGTGGAGAAGATGGTAAGAAATGCATCTTGTCCCATGAATGTATTTCTTTGAAGGTGAAAGGATAATAAGTTAAAGAATTTTGTTTTGTTTTGTTTTCTCAGATACAGAAAAATGCACCAAGTGTCCGGATGATAAATATCCAAATGGGGATCAAGTCCAATGTATCCCCAAATTTATAACCTTCCTGTCTTATGAAGAACATCTGGGCAACATCCTGGTGTCATTTGCTCTATTCTTTTCCCTAACCACAGGCTTTGTCTTACTCACCTTCATTAAATACCGGGAAACTCCCCTTGTCAAAGCCAACAACCGGGACCTCTCCTACATCCTCCTGGTCTCCCTCCTGCTTTGCTTCTTGTCTAATTTTCTCTTCATTGGTCAACCAAGGAAAGCCACCTGCCTCCTCCGACAGACGGTTTTCAGCATCATCTTCTCAGTGGCCATTTCTTCTCTCTTGGCCAAAACCATCACGGTGGTGCTGGCTTTCCTGGCCACAAAACCAGGAAACCGAGTGAAGAGATGGTTGGGGAAGAGCTTGGCCAACTCCATCATCCTTTCTTCTTCTGCTGTCCAAATTATCATCTGCTCCATCTGGTTGGGAGTTTCTCCCCCATTCCCTGACTCTGACCTCCACTCCCAGCCTGGAGAGATTGTCCTGCAATGCAACGAAGGGGCCGTTGTCATGTTCTACGTCACCCTCAGCTACATGGGCTTCCTGGCTGCCATCTGCTTCACGGTGGCTTTCCTGGCCAGGAACCTGCCTGGGGCCTTCAACGAAGCCAAGCTGATCACCTTCAGCATGCTGGTCTTCTGCAGCGTCTGGGTGACTTTTGTGCCCACCTACCTGAGCACCAAAGGGAAATACATGGTGGCTGTGCAGGTCTTCTCCATCTTGGCCTCCAGTGCTGGTCTGCTTGGTTGCGTCTTCATCCCCAAGTGCTACATTATTATTCTGAGGCCAGACCTGAACACAAAGGAGCAACTAACGACCAGAAGAAATTAGCTATGTGAGTCAGAAGTATTTTGACTGCTAACAGGCCAAACCAAGAAAATAGTGCGAAATGATGATCATACGTATAAAAAATACAATCGATGTTGTAAGCACAAATATCCATAAATAACAATCCTCAGGTTACTTTCCCACCCATCTGCTGTTAGTATCCTCAAGAGTTATTGCCTTAATAAAAAGAAACACAATCAGTTGTTTTGCAGTAGCAGTTTTGATAAAATGTAGTGAGAAGCAAGGAGTTCAGGGTCCCAAAAGCAGAACTTTCTCTTCTATGCTTCTGTCTTGCTAAGCAGGTCTCACTCCTCCAACAACTTGGTTTTTTCACAGCTCTTCTCCCTTTTCACCTCTTGGAAGGCAAAATCCTGAAAGGACTGGATTTATCCGCTCAGTCTTCTGGAAACAATGTTTGAAAAGACCTTAATGCCAGGCAGAAGAGCTAGGCAATCTAGAGCCAAGTTTTACAACCAGACTGAGGCTTGTTCTGTAGCTCCTTGTGCCTGATCCTTTACATCTTGCATCCTTTACATCTTGCACCTTTACATACTGCTTTTTTTTGTCATTTATTGACCCCATAATCCCTTGTGGGATCGAGTCAGGGCAACTGAATGGAGCTGAGTGTTTACTGGCCCTTCCTGTTGCCAATGCAGAGTTTGCAGCAGATATATTCTCATTGTGCCCAGAGAGAGAAATATCTGCCTCTACCTAGGATCGAACTCACAGCCTCCTGATTGCTCCACCTATAGGCCACCACGTACTGCTTTTACTTGCAAGGAATTGTCAGTAAGGTTGAAGCAACCCAAACCAGGAAATCCCTCACATCCACGGGCCATTTTGAACAGCATCAAGTCCATGGCCTGTCTCTTTTGCAAGATTGCTGTTCTTTGCTATTCCTGCTTCTCATTGAGGAGAGCTTTACCAAGCCTTATTTATATGTTTCGTAACTGTTGAAGACAGATTTTTTGGGGATGTAAAGGCAGTCATGGACTGCAAAGGTTGGTGGTGAGCCAATAATGGAAATAGCAGCTGGGGAGTTCTGTGAGGTACCAGCTTCTGTATACTCTCTTGAGCTTATGATGACTGTAGTATTGGACAACTGGTGTTGCATGAAATGAGGTTAAAGGCCCAAATACACAAATGCACAAGGATCTTTGGAAAATATGAAACGGCATCATTTCCACACAGCAAATACAATCCCTCTAGTAAATAGAAATAGGGTCTCACCACTGACCTTCAACTGTGTCTTCCATTGTTCCATCAATCTTTGTGCATTATTTCTAGCATTTCTGCTGACTCCTGTTATTTCTAGGCACTTGATTATTATTGCTATTTACTATTTACTATATAGCTATTTATTTAACTCCAGAATTAGAGGGAAAAACCTATTTTTTAAACCAATTACATGAAGGGATTTCATAGGGAACTCAGCAAGTTAACGAGTCTATCAAAACAAATGTGCTTAAAAACACTGAACGAGAACTTCACCCTCAGATTTCAAAGACTCTTTTGATTAAAATTTATAAAATATGAATCCAAACAGGAGGTCAACCCAGCAATATTGGCTGACTACCGTCCTGTCTCCAACCTTCGCTTCGTGGCGAAGGTTGTTGAGAGTGTGGTCGCACGACAGTTTCCACAATTCCTGGAGGAAACGTCCTATCTAGATCCGTTCCAGTCAGGTTTCAGACCTGGGCACAGCACGGAAACAGCATTGGTCGCATTGGTAGATGATCTCTGGAGGGCTCGGGACAGGGGTTGCTCCTCTGTTCTGGCCCTGTTAGACCTCTCAGCGGCTTTTGATACCATCGACCATGGTATCATGCTGCACCGGTTGGAAGAGTTGGGGATGGGGGGCATCGTGTTACGGTGGTTCTCCTCCTTTCTCTCCGACCGGTCGCAGGTTGTGTTGACAGGGGGGCAGAGGTCGACCTCGAGGCCTCTCATCTGTGGAGTGCCGCAAGGGTCGGTCCTCTCGCCCCTTCTGTTCAACATTTATGTGAAGCCGCTGGGCGAGATCATCCGTGGCTTTGGGGTGAGATACCACCAGTACACTGATGACACCCAGCTGTACATCTCCACCCCAGGCCACCCCAGCGATGCCCTTGAAGTGATGGCCCAGTGCCTGGAGGCTGTACGGATCTGGATGGGGAGGAACAGGCTCAAGCTCAACCCTACCAAGACCGAGTGGCTGTGGTTCCCGGCATCCCGATATAGTCAGCTGACTCCATCGCTGACTATCGGGGGCGAGTCTTTGGCCCCCGTGGAGAGGGCGCTCAATCTGGGTGTCCTCCTGGATACACAGCTGTCCTTGGAGGAACATCTGATGGCTGTTGCCAGGGGGACCTTTTGTCAGGTTCGCCTGATTCGCCAGTTGCGCCCCTTTCTTGATCGGGATTCCCTGTGCACAGTCACTCATGCCCTCGTCACCTCTCGCCTGGACTACTGCAACTCTCTACATGGGGCTCCCCTTGAGGAGCACCCGGAGGCTCCAACTGGTCCAGAATGCGGCCGCGCGGGTAATTACAGGAGCTGCATGGCACTCCCGCATAACACCGTTCCTGCGCGAGCTGCACTGGCTCCCAGTGGTCTTCCAGGTGCGCTTCAAGGTGTTGGTTATCACCTTTAAAGCGCTCCATGGCATAGGGCCTAGCTATCTTCGAGACCGCCTTCTGCCACCGATGACCTCCCATCGACCCGTGCGCTCCCACAGAGAGGGCCTCCACGGGGTGCCATCAGCCAAACAATGCAAGCTGGTGACCCCCAGGGGGAGGGCCTTCTCTGTGGGGGCACCCACCCTCTGGAATCAACTGCCCCCAGAGATAAGGAGAATCCAAGACCTTCGTGCCTTCAGCCGTTCCGTTAAAACTTTCCTTTTTCAACAAGCCAGGCTGGCCTAACAAATCCTTTTAAATGATTTTAAATGATTTTAAATTTGTTTGTCTTTTTAAATTTTGGGCCAAATTGAGATATTTCCTTTTAATCTGTTCTTAATCTATGTATTATGTATTATGTATTTATGTGTTTTTACTTGGCTGTACACCACCCTGAGTCCCTAGGGAGAAGGGCGGTATATAAATCTAAAGTAAAATAAAAATAAAAATAAATGAGTGACCATGAAAAAGGCCTCCCCGTCCCTGCTAGAAACAAATAGCCACATCTTTAATATCAATGGCTACTTCCAAGTTGATCACTGGACTCTCACTGGCATTAATGAAACATAAAACTACAGATGATTATTGCTGATTATAAAATATTTTCCATGATTTCCAATCATTTAATGGACAAGCCCTCTCCCATGCCATCATTCTTAGGAAATCACATCACATTTAAAAAGGGACCAAAATCAAAATAAAAGTTCCAAATAACTACATTAATCAGAGACTGTGCCTCGTTATATTTTCTCTACAATTCAGATTAGGCCTGAATAGGATAATGATGTCAGACTTCGATGCTATCTCAAAATAAATGAATTTCCAAACTGCCAGTCTTTAAGGAAATCTTTTCTTTAATTGAGCACAGCCACCGGATCATGACTCGATGCGGACAAGACTGACCTTTTGCCCCCCAATCCCTCCCTTTCCGATCCCCAAATCTCTGCTTCTCATTGGCTATCTTCCAAGTCATTCTTCAGACTTCTTGTCTTGTCATTTCCCAGGAATGTCTCCCCTCTTCATTTCCATGACAACCCGACTTCAAAGGGATTTAGCAGGCAAAAGTTCAGAGTTTATCTCTCTCTCTCCTCTGCTCTCTATGCCAGCGTCAAAGTGCTGACATCCGGCCCCTCTCCCTTCACAATTAAGATTAGGTCTGAATAGGATAATGAAGCATTTGGGGAAAAAGATGCAAGCCAAGAGACCAGCCCCAGAGGCCAAGATGGAGAAGATCTCCATGGCCACCATGGACTTCCCTTTGGTGCTCAGGTAGGTGGGGAGGAATGAGATCCAAACACTGCAAAAAACCAACATGCTAAAAGTAATGAATTTGGCTTCGTTAAAGCTGTCAGGCAATTTCCTAGCCAGAAAGGCCACCGTGAAACTCACAAGGGCCAGGAAACCCAGATAGGCGAGGACAGCATAAAACATTGAAGCTGAGTCTTCATTACATTCCAAGATGGCCTCTCCTATCAAGGAGTGGAAGTCCATGTTGGGAAATGGGGGAGAGGTTACCAGCCAGGTGGCACAAAGAAGTGCTTGGACCAGGGGACAGGCTGAGACAATGGAGTTGGTCAGTGGCTTTCCTAAGAGTTTCCTTGACTTGTTCCCTGGCTTGGTGGCCATGAAGGCCAGAACCACCATGACAGTTTTTGCCAAGACAGAGGAAACTGCCAGGGAAAAGAGGATGGCAAAGGCAGTTTGTCGGAAGAGACAGGTGAGCTTTGTGGGTCAACCAATGAAGAGAAAAGTGCAGAAGAAGCAGAGCAGGAGGGAGACCAGGAGGAGGTAGGTGAGATCTCGGTTGTTGGCCTTGACAATCGGTGTGTCACAATGTTTAAGGAAAATCACCAGGATCGCAGATGTGATCACCGAGAGAGAAAGCGCTAGAGAAACTCTCTTGCTCTCTTGATAGGCAAGGAAGTGGATCTTCTTGACAATGCAGTGTTCCTTGGCTTGTTGGGATATTGGTCATCTGAGCAGGGGTCACAACGAGTCACATCTGAAATCAAGATAAAATGATAAGATGAAAGTTTTTGTCTAAGGTTTTCAGAGGGATTTCTCATGAGTATTACCCTTCCCTCAGGGGAGATGTGATTCTCCCCTTTTTCTTGTGGCCAATCCACAAGTGTGTTGATAGAATGACCCACTCAGCACTTAGGATGACCCTGGCATATGTCAGTTAGAAACAAGTATCAGTCATTCAGCAGGCCTTCAAGGTCATGAAAAGTTCCTCAGGAAACACCCAATGTCCCTGAGATGACACCCAAGTGGATGGCAGTGTTGGATGGCAATTTCTGTACTTCTTTATCTTATCTAGAGTGTGCCATCTTGTCTGGGTGGTGTGTGCCAAAGCTTCTGGGTAGAGAAGCGGACAATGTAGCAACCATATAAAGATAAGTGTCGAGGTGTGTTGGGGGTTCCCTCTTGCTTAGAGGAGCCCATCTTTTATTGCAAAAGTTTTACAATTACATTTTCACCCCATTTCCCCCCCCCCAACCCACCCCAGGCTCCCCAGCCTAACCCTCCCAAACCCCCCCTAA